ATGTAATAGAATTCCAAACTGGCAAATGTGCACTTCATCTGTGGCGATTTTTTTTTCTCACAAACAGACTTCCACATCCAGACACTGTGATTTGTGCTTGATTGCATTCTCTTCCTTTGCATTCAGACTGAATGCAGACAATAGAAATGCAGAGCATGTAGCTCGTGCAGTGAATGCAGATGGTGTGGGCTTCACCATTAGGACCCAAATCAGGTGTGCTTTCCCAGGACCTCCTCTCTGCCTGACGTTTTCTGTGTGGACAAAGACAAGGAATAGAAGTTATTACATGGGAGGCAAGAAAAAGCAAGGTGGTTTTCTTTTTATTTTTCTTTCTTTCTTTTTCTTTCTTTCTTTTTTTTTTTTGTATCAACCCCGTGGTTTCCCGAGATCTGATCATCATGGGCAGACTCTTGGTTGGTGTTCCTTTTTGTAGCAAGGTTGGACACAGACATGTATAAGGAAGCCACCCATTTCTCAGCTGTCTGTCCTGCGTTTGCTTAGCCCAGCCATAGAAGGAAGCCTGTTTCCTTATTTTTGTTTGTTTGTTTGTCTGGGTTTTTGTTTGTTTGTTTGAGACAGAGTTTCTCTGTGTAACAGCCCTGACTGTCCTGGAACTCACTTTGTACACCAGGCTGGCCTTGAACTCACAGAGATCCACTGGGATTAAAGTTGAGTGCTACCACTGCCTGATAGAAGCCTGTTTGCTTTATCTTTTCAACCCTGACGTGGAACCTTGTCCAGTCAAACATTCCCTTGCAGTGTCTATCCAGTGATCTGCAAATGACCAGGGGACCAAGCTCAGGCTGAGACAGACTTTCCAGAAAATTTTTTTTTTGGGCGGGGGGACGAAACACCAACTTTTGCTCCTTCGCTAGCCTCAAAGATTCTAATGGAGGGAAAGTAGACAGGGTACCAAGCTCCAGTACCATGGGGATCTAGGAAGCTCCCAACAGGTGCATTTCAGAAACAGTCCATTGTTCCCCAGAGACACCAGAGGGTTTTCAACTCCAGGTAGCCCATAGAGTTTGTTGTTTTAGGAATATGTGTGCCGAGGAAGGTGAGCCAATTCCCCTCCAGTCCTGGAGGATGGTGTCTTCCTTCCCTGCGAGGATGGGAAGCTAACCACTGTGCAACCTCAGCACTTTCTAGACACCTTTAACCACAGACAAGTGCTTGCCCTAGAGATGTTCAAAAGTGCTTCAGGCCCTCTTAAGTGGCAGAATAGACTGTTCTTCAGACTATCTCAACTGTAGCTCACCAGGGACTTTTTTTTGTATTTGTCAGGTGTGGGGAGGCCAACAGCTAGGAGACAGGGCCACTATAAAGAGAGTCTATGACTCAGAGCTTCTAAGAAGAATGTATCATGTCACGGTGTGTGGCTGGCTACACAGAGACCTCTGGTCAGTCAGGAGGTGGAGGGAACAGGGGAATGAGGGCAAGAGTTTTTTTGTTGTTTTCATGAGGAGGAACTAGGGAGACAGGAGGAGATCTAGGTCTGCCTGATTGCAGTAACTTAGGAGGCTCTGGGCTTCCATGCTCCCCTGAGTTCTATAGCATCTGCCTTAGGGCGATAGGACAAGCAATGGTGGCCTGGAAGGTGAAGACCACAGGAAGCCGGCGACTGCAGGTATAGGCTATGTTGGTAGGTGTGTGGAAGACACACCGGTGGGCAGGGCATTTATTTTATCTAGAGATTGGGTAGCAGGTCCCAGAGGCAAAAGTGTCAGCCCATAGAAAACAAAGATGACCATTTTCATCATTGGAAAATATGTTCAGTTAGACTTAGAAACATATAATAAGTCAAATATATAGGATTGTTATCATGTAACTCTGATGAGAGAAAGCAATGTTTCTCTGTCCTTCTTTTTATTTTATATTGAAATAAAAATGAGCTAAAATGTTTCCATGTATACCTCCCTTTATCAGCCTTGTTATTGGAACTAACTACCTGAAATTCGGTAGCAGTGTACATTCCGAGCAATTTAAACTCTGTATTACTATTATAATACAGTTTTGAAGTTCTCATATGAGTTTCTTACAATACCCTGCGATGTGTCTCCGACTTCTGTCTCCCTTTCCACAGTGTCTGCTAAACCGCGTGCACAGACACAGAAAGACACAAATCATAAAATGCGCAGACAGGCTGCTGTCAAATTATATAGACATTCATTGTCCCCATCGGGAGCTTTCTCCCCTCCCAACTTGGCTGTGCACTGTGTGCCATTATATTGAAATGTTCATAGAAAAATGGTCTTAATTCCCACAACCTTGCCAGGCACATCCATCTTCCAGGCTTTGGAACACCACTAATGAAGGGAACAGCGGTTGAATTAATATTCCTCTGATGAATTGTGGAGGTTTCTGATACTCCATTTGTCAACGGTGACTCTCCTCAAAGTGAAAAGGCTTTTGAAAAATCATCTGGCTTTTTACCAGTGCCAGAAGGGAATGCAGGCCCTTCCATGTGCATGGTCACCACGTCCTCAACCCTTTTCCCCTCACAGTAAGTTCTATGAGGGATTGATTCTTAGCTAGTGGGTGAGAGAACAGGGAGTGTGGTTTGGTGGACACGGAGGAGAGCGTGGGTTCTTCTGTGGGACCCAAACAGGAGGTTACTGTGTGTACAAGGGTTCCAGGGTGTAGTTGGCAAGTGAGTTAGAGCTGGATTCCTGGAGAAATCTTCGTTGTGATCCTCACAGGCTAACTGGGGCCAGAGGACAAACAGAGACAAACCCAAACGAAGCCAACGTGTTTCTAAGTGTGGTTGAGGTCCCAGGAGTTTCACGACAACACATGGAATATTGGAAGATGACAACCTCTCCACCCGGGGGGGTCAAGGTGGAGCCTGGAATTTTTTTGAGAAATATACAGTCTTGACTGCACCTCACTTGAGGGTTCTGAGGGTAGCAAGCTTTGGTAGCTGGTAGCCTCACAGAAGAAATGGCTGCTCTGGGGACCGAGCGAGGGAGCCAGTGGCAGGAAAGCTTTACGACAATGCACAGAAAGCCAAGCATGGCACCGCTCCATCTCCGTCACAGGCCCGAAGCCGAAGTGATTGAGGCTTGTCGGAAAGCAGGTCGCATGATGGAGAGGGCTGGGGATGTTAGGAAGAACTTGTCCTCACAGCCCTTCTTGGCAGGGTTTCCACTGTTTGCGAACACAGACGCTCAAGGCACAAGACGAGCACCACTGGCGGGCTTGCCTTGGCTTTGAGCGTTGCGTGGCTTCTGAGTTGGCTGTGCGAGGACATGTTTGCAGAATCCAGCCAGGGAATATTATTAAACACAACTTAAATGCTCTCCCATCGAGAGACTGCTTTAAGAATTACCGGTAATAGCAGTAGGTTCCCCCCGCATACTTCATTTAAGACACAGCTAGCTGGGGAACGTCCAACTGTTATCACTACAAACTACTTAATCCCCATAGGGGGAAAATGGATCTTAGAGTTTGGGGGGTGGATTATCGCTATATTGAATAGGGATTCAAGCTGTATCAGACTCTGACAAAACAACCTTCGTTTTTGTAATTGCTTTACATGGAAGTAATTAAGGATGGGGAGTAAATGGAGAATACACAGAGGTCCTGAAGCATGCTGGGGGGGGTGAGGCGGGAGTGGGGTTGACAACACACTCCCTTGGGCGGAAGTGCAACCCTGACATCCCTCCATAGCAAGTCTTTGCCTTGCCTGGGTGTCTGATTCCGCCCGCTCCCTCTGCCTGGCTTTCCCTTCCACTCTCTCTATGGACTGTGAGCTCATTCCAAACACATCACAGGCATGTGTGAGCCATGTCTAAAAGACTGGAATTGCCACAAGTGAAGTGCCTATCCATGTGCTGTTCAATATTCTAGAATCTTCCCATACATTTTTATCTATCTGAACCTGCCTTGGCTGCTGACTTCCGCTGGCTTGAGTAGTCAGCAGATCTGTTGATTGGACAAAATGTAGCAGAGTGAGCCCAGAGGCATGCGCTGTGAGGTCTAGGGTTGAAACTAATTCTTGTATGGAAAATAATTAAACTATTGCTCTAGTATAAAGGGATCCCAATAAGGTCATAGACTCTATACATCAATGTACATAAAGCACACTGCAGTTTATAATAACGCATTTTCATATCACTAATCTCACTCCAGTGCCATAAAATACCAACTGGGTGTCCCCAGCACAGCCTCCAGCTGTAAGCAGATGTGGACGCTTGGAGAAGTGAGTGAAAGCGTGAAGATAAGAGACTCGGATCTCCAAATTCCCAACATCGCTTTAAAGTCCCCAGAGAAACAGCTGTCCTGGATTTGTGCCAGGACTTCAGGGCTAGGGTGCTCTTAAGGTGTGCACAGAACCCCGGGTCCTGGGGGCGGCACGTGCAGGTGCAGAAAACGGAAATGCGATCAGAACCCTCACACGTTGCTGGTAACTGACTGCACGACATTGTGCAGCCACTTTGTAAATCACTCTGCAAATCGGTTTAGTTGCTCCAAATGTTAAGCCTGGGCCTCCCCGAGGATTTGCCAATGTCACACAAGAGCAAAGGAGGCGTGTGTCCCCACAAAAACGTGGGCATGTGTGTCCACAGCTGCGTTATTCTTATTAGTCAAAGAGTCCCAAATCCTCAATAGGCGGAGGGACAGATAAACAGTGTGTGCCAGGTCTGTACCCTTTCGGGTCGCTCAACAAGGAAGCCTCAGTGCGTGAGGCAGTGAGAGTCAGCCTAAAGACAGGATGCCAAGCGCAAGTTGTGGATTACATTGGCTGCACTTGGGTGGAATGCCAAGGTCTGTTAACTCAGAGTGGAAAAGTAAATTTGTGGATGTCTGGGACCGGGAGTGGGGGAAATAGGAGACAAATACTCACTGGGGTGAGGGAAATGACTTAATATCAGGTTATGGTGATGGTAACGCCCTAAATGTACCGAAACCCACTGAAGTTACACGTTTGGAATGTATGTGAATCCACGTCCAGCTGAAACCGTGAAACTACAGAATGCCTCTGCTTCTTCCAACTCCAGGTCCAGCTTCTGTCATCAGCAATGACGACGACTCGGCCAGTCCGCTCCACCACATCTCCAATGGGAGTAATACTCCATCTTCTTCAGAGGGCGGTCCTGATGCTGTCATTATTGGAATGACCAAGATTCCTGTCATTGAAAACCCTCAGTACTTTGGCATCACCAACAGCCAGCTCAAGCCAGACACATGTGAGTACATCTGTTTGTACTTATTGACCCATTTGCTGCATAGCTGCTCCGACAATTCTGTTTATCAGGGCCTCTGGCGAGGCGGGCTGGGGTTGGGGGCCGTGGACTATTTGAGGATTCTTGCACTCTTTGGCCCACAGCTAGATTCTTGCATTGCTTACTTAGGGGATTCTCAGGGTTTGTCTCCTGCTGGGCTGGGAACCGTGGGCAGATATGGACTTCTCTTGGAACCCATTTCCCGCAATCATTTGTCAACATGAAGCTATAATCAAGCATGCTTATCTGGAGAAGGATGTAGACAAAAAGCAGAAGTGTCACCAGAATGCAGATACATAATTTATAGTTGACAGGCAATTGGTGTAGCTTAAATCTGGCTTATTGAAAGCAATTAAAGCATGCATTCTAGGCAATCAGAAAGGCTCCGTGCTTCATACAGGTGGTATTGATTTGGGGGCCGTTCTGCACTCTTTTCTTGTCCTGATTCCAAGCATGAGGCCTTGTGATGTCACAACTGCTACTTCAGGCAGTATGAGTACGAAAAGCAGGAGGACCTTTCACCTTTAGTGATTATGCTAGCCCATCAGTCAGCTCCTGCTGGCAAGCTTAGGCCCCTTTCCCTAACTTCTGAACCACTGACCAGATATAAAGTATGGAGCAAGACCTTAAGAGAAGCAGAAACCTCGAAGCCTAATAAGTGCACACAGAGGCTTGGCTTTCCCCGTTTGGACACAGGCCTTCTCTTATGGATGAAGAAGAGGCCGTGGGGGCTAGGATATCAGATGTTCTGATTCCAGGGCTTCCTGGCCTTGATGAGGTGGCTGTCCTCTGTCTACTGCATCCCTATATCCTGCCTACTACTAAGTGCTGCTTTGCCGCACCGTCTCAGAAGCTAAGGAGGGTAATTATAAAGTCAGGTTTAAAGAGTGATATTTTGCTGAAAATCCATCGCAGAGGGTTTAGCAATGAGATCTTTCTTACATAAGGGAGAAATAATCATTTCTTTCTATTTATTTGCATTTATTTCAAGGAATGCTTAAGATTGGAGTTGGGACCAAGTATCAGAGTTAACGTTGTTATAAGTTTGGGTGAGACTGGGCATCACCGAAGATGTTAGCTGAATTCCTTACATGGCAGGACAAAAGGAGGCCTAAGGGTTAGGAAAGTCCTTGAACACTGACTGTTATTCAAAATCATGGTGTTATTGCCTCTGATAACTATGGTATCATAGGTATGGTATGGTATGACCAAGTCAAGAGGAGATGTTGTTTAGAATTAGGTACTCCTTGTGGAGGTCGGCATTGCCCAGGGTCCTTGGGATGTCTATATATATGACAGTCAAATAGGTAGAAAAACAAGACACTGTGGAAAGGGAATCTGCAGTCTTTCCCATTGTCCTCCCTAGGGATATCTTATTATCAGGACTAGGGTGTGTGGTGTATTTCTATCATCTCCAGGCTGGATAGCTGAGGTTGACTTCAATTAACATAATGTTTGCTTTCCTTTCCGATGGAGGAGAAGTAAGTTGAATCATCAAGCAGAGACCCTTGGTCCAATGTGTCCAATAAGAATGAAAGAGCAAAAGCAATAATAGACACATTACTGTGAATGGAGAGAGCCACAGGGCCTCAGCCCTACACAAAGAACTACAGACAGCCAAGGCGTGCTGAGAGGGAGAGATAGTCTACCCCAGGGAAGAGCACACCAAGTGGTTATCCAGTATCAAGTGATCAGCCCTCAGAAAACAAAAACATACTTTTTAGAAGAGAAAAATTTCTTCATTTAAAGGGATGGTGATTGCGTGGAGAAAGTGGGTGGGTGGCTGCAGGGTTTGTGACCCCAGAGTCCTAAGAGGACGTTTGCAGAAGCCACATCCTCAATCTAGACACTACGGAGGTTTTGGAAATAGTTTGGTTATTTCTGGAGGCCTTTTGATTTGTGGCTCAGTCATGTTGTGTCACCCACACTTGGAAGGGTCTGTAAGAGAACTATGGAACCCCTAGCCTCCCCTCTGCTTCCGGCCTCCTGCCTGGGCCGTAGACCACCAAGTCTCTTTGGCTAGTACTACTTTACAAAGTCTCACTGAGCCCTCTATCCACATACCCTTCCAGGCCTGGTGCAGTAGCCTCAGACATGTCTTACCTTGCATAATCTAAATCTAACTTTTACCCAGACATTATCTTTGATGATTTTTAATAACATTATTTTAAAAAAAATCACCTATCTTCCCTGGATACTTGATCAAAGAAATGGGGATGAACAAGACTTTACCATTCTCTCCCCACCCTTTCTCCCACCCCCATGTCAACATCACACTTCATTGCAGTATGTTCTTCAGCCTTTAGTGTCTGTGCTGTTCTGTGCTCTGTGTGTGTGTGTGTGTGTGTGTGTGTGTGTGTGTGTGTGTGTGCAGTTCTGTTTAGGTTCGACTTTAGTCTTGGGAGAACAGCAGCTTTAATTGCTAACCATAACCTAGGACAGGACACCCAGTGGGGTTTTGACATCAAACAGATGTTGACCAGATGTGACAATATATTGCTGAAGTATTAGTTATCAGTGAATTTGTAGTAATCTTCTCAGTCCCTTTTCATTGGTATCAAACTTGTACATGTTGATTGTATTGGATACGCTTTTAACCAAGTGCTAAGCAACTTAACCAGATTTATTTAAGCAATTTTAGAAAAATAAGCTTTATGAAATCTTTTCTTTGATTAAACATATTACAACCATCTCAGTTAAACTATTTCAATGAATAAGCACAGAGACTGGATGTACAGAAGTGTATCTTGCTTTAACTCTGTAAAATTCTGAGAGATTAGTTTCAGATATGCTGTTTTTATTCAATGTCCTAAACAAACTAACTTCTAATAGTCTCTCAAGTGGGGGGAGGGGGGCTCTTCCCAAAAGATGCACAGGTGATGGCGAAAGTCATTTCAAAGGCTTGAAAGACAGATTAGCATATCCCTCACGCCCTTAAAACAGAAGTCGCAGGACAGTGTATCACTGCCATCCCCAAGTCTGTCACAGGCTTGGACCATACACTACCTTGTCTACTGGTCGTCTCAGAAGCTGTATTTTATATTCAAAGATGTTGACTTCAGACTACACGTCTTTTGTCGCCAAGAGTGACATCGCTTTACTTTCACAGAGTTGAAAGAGTATATTCTAGACTGCACACCTCAGTATGTTAAATGTCTGCTGATTAGACGTAGCACTTCTACGAGGGTGGGAGCCAGAGGACTGGTGGTAGCGATGGCTTGATCTCTGACTGCGGTGAGACTCATCACACAGGCCGAACTGGATCATCACACGATTCAGCCCAGTGTGATAAGCACCGAGATTGGCTGTGTTACAGAAAGGTTTTGCATCCAAGGTTCAGGAATCGGGCAAGTCAGTTGGAGGAACAGGCTGTCTTGGGGAAATGATATGAAATAATAAAGACCATACTGGGGCATGGGCCTGGCATGACCAAATTTCCCAGAGAAAGTGGACATTTGTTCTTTCATTTGAGTGGCTGAAGATTTCAAATGCTAAGTGGGGCAGGTAAGAATGCATCAGCATGGTTCAGATCGGGCTCTAGGCCCTCCCTCCCCCAGCTGGATCTTCAGGATCCTTTGCTGTGAACACCTCAGTGGACAACACTTGGCAGTGGTTTGACACTGTGAGACGGCTTTAGTACTCACACAGCTTTGCTTTAAGCAACAAACATCACCATTAGATTAGGGTTCTTTAAATAACGCATGTGATTGCTTCCGTGAGGAGTAAAGAGCAATCAGGCCCTCTGATATACTTATGCACTACCAGGAGCTGTGTGGTAATGTTCGCTCACCAAGTCCAGAGAGGGTGTGTGAGATTTTAGAGCGATGTGAACAGAGCTGAATTGCTCCTGAGCACTTTCCAATAGAAAGTCTGTCTACTTTATTGCAGGGCCCAGAGGTTCCCCCAAGACCGCCTGATAATAATTTGGTATTTGGAGGCTCCTGCATCACTGCAGGAACCAAAGGAGGCTAGATCCAAGCCTGATGGAGGAGAAGAGTTCTGTGGTTTTCTGCAAATTCTGGCCAGACAGCATCTTGAAGTCACTCCTTAGCTTCCATAACTAGCCAAGCAAGAAGTTGCCTTCCCAGGACAAAGCAGAGTGTTCTAATGCCTAACCCCTCAAAGTGCCGTGTCAGTAGACTATAGACCATCTCCTCGATCGAGCAGGATGGCAAGATGGAGCTGAGGAGCTCAGCAACATCAAGTCTGGAGTTGGTCTTTATTCAACTAGTCTGTGTAGATGTGTCTGAAAACCACAGCATCTTACAGCATGGGGCGGTTGACCAGTAGGATTTGCAAACTCTGCCCAAGGGCCACTGTGCTGATATCTTCTCCTTGCCTGTTGAGAAAGATTTTGACAGGGTGCAATGGAAGCTCACCTTCTCAGTTGAAAAACAAAGTAAAGCATATTAACCAGAGAAACTTCCAAAATGGGCGGGGATATGTTTTATCCATAGACTTACAATTGTTTCTAAAATCATATTGTTTTTCTTGTAATTTAGCTAGAATCATATGTCTTGTGCCTACATTTAGTTAAGATTGTCTCTAATACATACCTTCAGTGTTTGCTTGAAGAACACACCCTCTATGCACTCCTAGGGCTAGCCACTCCCAAAGTCGCATAGGGCGACTTTGAATTATTTTGAAGGTTTGCTTTATTTACAACAAAATGGTCATTTCTTGCCTCCCTTCAGTGTGTGTGTCCCACGTTTCTTTAGGTATCGTTGTGTGTCCCCGTGGATCATACGTCTATGGGACAATTGCATAGACAAGCACAGGTCCACTCACCAGCAACGGTGCAGGAAACTGGGCATTCTGAAGAGAGTGGTTGTCTGAATAGTAGTTGAAAATGTCACCGAGTCTGAGTCCTGCTCCTCTTCACTGCCATGCCCGCTTTGTCTTTCTACTGCCAACGAAGGCAAGCGAGAGTCTTCACAAAACTGCAGAGGTTTTCAGCACATTTG